CATAAACCCAGCCTAAACAAGTGCAGTATTTTGACATTTCAGAGAAGGATTCAAAGTAGGAGCCCAGGTGACAAATTGAGACACCTGGGGTAGAGGAAGCAGGTCTCTGAAATTTAGGCTTGAAAATACTCATCTCAGGACAGGGCCTTACATGCCACGAAGGGGGTTGTAAGTGTGTTGAGGAACACCACTGATAAAGAGACAATTCTGTGAGCCAGGTTGCTACTGCTAGTCTGTAAACAGATCAACACCAAGGGTGACGTAAGTGTAGAGGTAAAAGTGTCCATGGTCAGTTCTCAAGCACTGCTGTGATGAACCTTACAGAAAGATAATTTGGTGTCTGTTATGTCCCAGGTCTGACTACCAAAGAGACATGAATTAGGACTTATTATCGATAGGGAAGTAGAGGTAGTACTGCCATTACAGTACTATCTTAGGCATTGCAAGTTGCTTAAGCACTGACAGCCTCAAGTTAGGCTGATTCTGGAATATAAGAGGGAGCAGAACTCATGGACAATCAGTCGGTCCAGCAGTTACAACAGTTTCAAAGAAATGCTGTAGGAGAGGTTGTTGCTTTTTCTTATGACTAATTTCACAGTAATTTTGGACCTAAACTATTAAATTATTGAGTGTGTTTTTCTTTTAGTCTTTTTGTCTCTGTTTTAAAAATATGCATAATTTAGAGGATTCAACATAGTTTACAAGGAGAGTTAATGAACTTGGACTTCTTAACAACTTGACATATTTTGGTCACCCAGTTTCTCTGTGATTACATGATAGAAAGTCATAAAATGTCCATACCCACGGAACCACCACTGAATCTTATGCAACCCACACATTCATAGAACATTGATGTGAGTCACGCACAATGGACTTACTGCAGGAACTGGAGGTACAAGGAAGAATGGAGGCCATGGGCGTGATAGATACAGTAATGGAAGTAACTCTAAAGTGATAGAACTTGGAAAGTTAAGAATTGAACTCTAAAGGAGAAGATTGTAGAAAACTTCACAGAAGTGTTGTGAGAAAAACAGCGGCACAGAACTACTTCTCTCTGGGCTTTTATTATCTGGTGTCTTTCTGCCGCCTTCTTTCCCCTTCTCTTGGGCAGCTCTTCCCTCCATTGGAAGACTTTTGCTGGCATTGTGAAAAATCTTCCTGCAGAAAGTCTTCCTTCCAGTCTGGATCTATCTTTCCTTTTTGCTCCATGGCACTTGAGCACAGTTCTGTCATTACACTACCCAAATTGTTATAATAGTTTGCTTGCCTGAGCAATCGCTGTTTCATGTACTTATATAGCCTTTCACTGTGCTGAGAACAAAGCAAGGAATAACCAGAGGTGAAGTAGGAAGCTGGTTATGCCATGTCGTGAGTGACCTTTTGTGTATCCTACTTTGAACCCTATGGCCAGTGGACAATGTGGACATGGTGATGGGTTTTCAAGGGAGTAGAGAAACCATATGTGGGTTTAGAAAGAAAACTCTGACATATACAGAATCAAGAGATCAGAGATAGGAATCCCAATTAAGAAATTTAAGCACACGTGTAAGTGAGAGATCACTGAAGGTCTGACCCAGATTGTAAATGTGAGAATTAAAGGGAGGAAAATAGGTAACAATTTGGGTGTGAGGAGGGTGCGTGAGGGAGGTGTGGAAGAATGACTAAGTGTGGACCTGTTTTTAAGAAGTAAATGAAAGTTTGAGTATTTGTTTTTGTTTTTTTTTTTTTTTTTAAGATTTATTCTATTTATTTGAAAGAGTTACAGAGGGAGGTAGAGACAGAGAGGTCTTCCATCTGCTGGTTCACTCCCCAGATGGCCGCAATGGCCAGAGCTGTGCCAATCCGAAGCCAGGAGCCAGGAGCTTCTTCCAGGTCTCCAACATGGATGTAGGGGCCCAAGGACTTGGGCCATCTTCTACTGCTTCCCCAGGCCACAGCAGAGGAGCTGGATAGGAAGCGTAGCAGCCAGTACTCCAACCGGCGCCCATAAGGGATGCCAGCACTTCAGGCCAGGGTTTTAACCCACTGCACCACAATGCCGGCCCCAGTTTGAGTATTTAAACTAATTAGACATTATACTTTTGAACAAAGCAAAACTCTTGAAATTTATCATTTCAGCGGTGGATGGAAAACTGAACAAGTAGAAATCCTTACTTCACAACCTTTCTCTGTGTCTGATCTGACAGAGAAGTCCAGCCCCATTACCTCCAAATTCCATTATAATTCTAGACAAGCAAAACAAGTGAATTCTACCCATTTTAGGAATCCTGTATGAAAAGCTCATTGCCTTGTTTCTGATAATGTGTTTATGTATTACTAGAATGGTGTTTATATTTTAATAAATTTTAATAAAACTGCTTATCTTTATAAATATTTTGAGTAAAGAAATTGTTTTCCTAAACTGAAACATTTACAATTGGGTAAAAATATTTTCCTCCCCAAAATAGAAATGTTACTGTAAATATTTTTGGAATTAACTGGTTAAATATTTCCTAAAATAGTTCAAACACTTAAAAATGATATGATTATAAAAACTTTGGGGTAGACATCTGATATAGTGGTTAAGATGTCACTTGGAGATCCCAATTCCAGCTTCCTGCTAAAGAGCACACTGGCAGTAATAGCTCGAGTAGTTGGGTCCCGGCCATCCTCCTGGGATATCCATATTGAGTTCCCAGCTCCTGGTTTCAGCCTGGCCCAACACTACCTGTTGCTGTTGTGGGCATTTGCGGAGTGAACCAGTGGATGGAAGACCTCTCTCTCTCTCTCTCTCTCTCTTTCTCTTTCTCTCTCCCTCGCTCCTTCTGCTTCTCAAACAAAATAAGTGAGTGATTTTTGAAACACTTAAACTTTATCTACTAGGTATTACTAACAATGCTCTAATTTATATCATTTCATATTTTTATACTAGTATTTTTCTTTTTTTAAAAGATTTATTTATTTATTTGAAAGAGTTACACAGAGAGAGGAGAGGCAGAGAGAGAGAGAGAGAGAGAGAGAGAGGGGTCTTCCAGCCGCTGGTTCACTCCCCAATTGGACGCAATGGCTGGAGCTACACTGATCCGAAGCCAGGAGCTTCTTCCGGGTCTCCCATGTGGGTGCAGGGGCCCAAGGACTTAGGCCATCTTCTCTGCTTTCCCAGGCCATAGTGGAGATCTGGATGAAGTGAGCAGCCACGTCTCAAACCGGCGCCCATATGGGATGCCAGCGCTTCAGGCCAGGGCGTTACCCCACTGCACCACAGCGCCGGCCCCTATACTAGTATTTTTCCAAGCTTTGATAAAGCATAGTTCTGTGCATCCCTAACCATTGCATTAGAACCTAAATTTATTTTTCAGTGAACTCTATTAGCTTAAGGCTACTTCTAATATAGTTGTAAGACTATGCATGGATTTCATCCTAGAGTAAAAGGTTTTATTATATTTTATGTGTAATCCTACAAATATAAAATTTATTTTCAAGACTGTAAAGGAAGTTGTAAGGAGACTGAATTATTACCCATGTCTTAAACCTCTCCTTGGTGGGCCCGTGAATATTCAGTGAGGAGACCATGAATAAGAAATGTTAAAGTGGGCTCCTACAATTAGAAGGTCAACAGGACATGGGATTCTGTGTGATCTGTGCTAAATTGTCAAATTTTCCTGGAATATTTAAAGACAAGAAAACTTATCTAGAACTAGATATTCATGCTTCTGTGTCTTAAAAAATAAAAGTATGAATGACCAGAGTGCTAGTGCCTTGTCCATTGCAAAGCTGCCTAGGGATTTCTTTGCAGGAAATTGATCACCTGAGAAAGGGAGGAAGAAAGTGATATTGCTTGAGTCCCTTTTCAGAGTCTTTTCCTTTCTCTAGCTTAAGCCTTCTAGGTGTGAAGTCTGAGAACGGCACCGATCTTGTTTTTTTCTCTCCTTTACAACCTATTAGAAGTTACATTGGGCACTACTGCTTGTTTCCTGACTTTGGTTGCAATAATGTAAGAATATAAGAATGTGTATGTTTTGATGACTTGATTTCCTTCATTTTCTTTCATTCCACAAACATTTTGAGCTGTCACTCAGTGGTAGGTGCCATAAAGCTTAGAGATGTATTTTTGTAAGTCTTTTTCCTAAAGGTCACAGCTTCACTGAAAGTCCACAAATGAGAGCTATGAGAGTGTTTATTTCATCACTGAATATTTACTGACCAGTTTAGTTCCTCAGGGACTGTAGTATCACCAGAGATTCAAAGATGAGCCAGGGAAATCTCATGGTTAAAGACATTTCTATGACAAGTTCTGTAAAAGAAATAGGTTCAGGGATCTTGGGAGCACAGAAGCAGGATGAGTTTAAATAGGAGTGGTCTTTGCCTTAGCTTGGGTACAATTCCCTGAAAGCAGAGTCTGAAATACTGTGTACAGCAGCAATAGTTCATGTGGCTACCAATCCAGGAAAAGGGGAGGGGACTGGCAGGTGAGGAGAAAGATCCAAGGTACATTATTGAGTGTACCCACTCAGGAGTTGTGCCAACAGTCTCCCCAAATCATCTGCCTGAAGGTCAAAAGGAGGAAATACGTGTCCATCAACACTGGTCTCCCATTGATTGAGAGCTACCACCAGAATCTTAACTCCTTTCAGTCCTGCAGAGGTCTCCTCTTTCTTTGGGCACTGCAGATGCCCTTAGGCAGGAAGCAAAAAGGCAAGCTGTTGACCCCAAATGAATGGAGGCCATAGGAAACTGTGCATCCAGCTCTGGCTGGAAAGGAGAGGAAGCTCTGATGCTTCTTCTAGTTGGATATGCTGTTCTTCCTGTACATGGAAGGACAAAAACATGCTGGATAAGAGGTTCACTTGTTCAACAACATGGGGAAAACACACATATTAAACTTTGGAAAAGAAAGATATGTTCCCTTTCCTACCTCTGAGAGGCAGTTAGCAAGAGGATGCATGTGAAAGATTGGCAGAAGTTTAGGTAAGAAAATTAGGTGGGCACTTTTGTGCCTCAGAGTTAACCTTATCCCACAGGTGATGAGAACTCCTGAAGAATCACTGTTTTAGAGCAACAACGTTGAACTCTAAGAGACAGCAAAACCGAAGACTGGAAGACATTTTGATGACTAATGATGCAGATTTATGAATAATGTCATCCTGAACCAAAGCATGAAGCTACCTATGATATATAATCCAGAGGATTTAACACATTGAATATGAAAGTAATGGGAAGGAAAAAATCCATTGTTGTTTATTCTTCTACTTATTTCTTTCTTCCAAGTGTGGATAAGCTCTGTGAACACTTTTACTCAAAGATTCTGTGCAGTCATACTTTTCTCCTTGATGAAACAGATAAATATTTACACAGATGTGAACACAGTGGTCCTTCTTATATGTACCCAGTGGAGGCATGAAATCATGGTCAGTTTCAAATTCTGTCTACGCAATGTTTTTTTCCTATACAACATACCTATGATAGAGATTAATTTACATATAATAGGAGATTACAGCAACAATTGATTACATCACTTAGAATAATTATAACAGTATACTGTAATGAAAATTTGCACTTGGAGGCCATTATTAAGTAAAATAAGGGTCTCCTGAACACAAGTACCATGATACAGGGACAGATGATGTCAACACAGTGACCAGCGGGAAAGGCAGCACCAAGATCGTGGACATCTTGGGCATGACCACATGGGATTTCATCATGCCACTCAGAATGGTGTGCAAGTTAAAAATGTATGGATTGTTTTTTTCTGGAATTTTCCATTTTATGTTTGCAGACCATATTTATTGTAAGGAATTGAAATCATAGAAAGTGAAACTGTGAGGGAGGAGTAGAGGTGGATGGATTACTGTTTTAGAAAAAATTGTAATGAAATAAAACTAATTCTGGATTGGGGAAAAAACCTGTTTCAATTATTTTCTGGCAATGTTGTATGTGATTTTTGTACATGACATTTACGTCTAAAACATGTTTCATTACTTGAAAAATGTTTGCCTTTCTAATTAATGCTACCATTAATTTAGACTTTACTGTTTACCTTTTCCAACTTTAGAAATCTATGGTTAATCCAAATAGTCCTCTGACAATTTTTTAAAAATGTTTTTGGATATAAAATCTACGAGGCATGTGTGAGTTATCACAAAGATGAAAATGCTGTCAAATATAAGAAAAAATCTGCATTTATACCATTGTAAATGCAGTCCTGGCCTTGGAGAATCAAACTTCCCTAAATGAAAGCAGAATAGGAGTCCTTTCTAAAGTGTTGTTGAAACAGCAGTCAGCTCTCAAATACAAAGGTCGGTTTAATAAAAGTCTGACCACTTCAATCTAAAGTTGGCCTTTTCTGTGATAGATGAAAGCACAAAAACTGGGAAAGATCATCTGCAGTTTGAAATATCTTGAAAATATTTTGAAGCAAAGCCATTTTATCTTAGTAAGAGGTAATTGCTGGTTGTTTTCTCTGTAAGCAGATGACAGTAATACTTTTTTCTCATTAGTTTTAACACCTCATTGATTACTAATATGAGAACATCTGGCATCATAAATGGAGACACTACTGACAGAGGGAATCTATCAATGGGATGGATAGGCAATGGGAAGATTGCTGTGGACAGGCAGTTTGGGGATTGGATGTTAATTTTGAGTCAAAAAGTAAGTAATTAGCAGAACCCAATTCCTGTATATGTATTTATTATAGCACAATGGAAAAAAAGGAAAATAAGCAGACTTCTGTTTCCAAAGGTGAGTCTTAGTTCAAACCCTGGGACTCATATTTTCGGGGGTAAATAAATCCCTGATCACTTATGGACTATCAGTCACATGAAGATATAATATATAAATATACTATATGCTAATTAAAAACAAACAGAATTGGTTAAAGAATTCAAACAGTAGGTCATCCAATGATTGTACTTATAACAAGTGAAAATGTGGAGTCTATGGAAGAAAAATGATGAAATAATTTTTGTATTTGCATTATAGTGGACCTATTCTATGATTGTGTGGGAGATCTGCAATTAACAAAAGATTGTCAGCTGCAAATCACCCACCAATGAGTAAGAACAGTAATAAGCCACTATCACATTATAATATAAGCATAAATGCCACCCTAGATCAGTGTTATTAAAAGATTAGTATTGTTTCTGCTTCTGGTACATTTTAATAATTAATATTCTATCAATCTTTATTTCTAACTAAATCCCAGGGTGAAATGGAAGACATAATTAAAAAATTATTATTTAAAGACAGGTTTTGTTTTTCTTTTAAGAATAATGCATTAGTGTGGTAAGTAAAATAATGCTCCTCCACTTACTCATCCCTCAAAGGTATCCAGGTCCCAACCCCTGGAATCTGAAAATGTAGTGTGTTATGGAAAAAGGAATTCAGGTTGCAGACAGAAAGAAGGCTGCTATTCAGCTGATCTTGAGATGAGCAGTTTACCCAGGATTATCAAGGTGGGGTCAGTGCAATCATAAGGCATATACTAAGGAATACGAGCATATGCTAAGGAATGTGGGCAGCCTCAGGAAATTGGAGCAGTAAAGGGAGTGGATCTTCCTTGAGCCTCTGTAAACAAACTCAGACGTGCCAACACCTTGATGTTGGTCCAGTGAGAACTGTGTAGGACATTTAACTCCCAGAACTGTAAAGTAATTTCTATTGTTTTAAGCCACTACATTTTTCATAATATGTTACAGCAGCAATAAGAAACTAAAATATTGGCCTTTTAAATCATAAAAGAAGTTTAAGCGAACATAGTACAAAATAATTTAGGGAAGATAAGAAGAACTTTGTTGTTAGACTTATTTATTTTAATTCATTTACTTTCTAAATATACTTCTTCCAATTATATGAATACCCTTTATCATCTCATGAAAAGTTGGAATCAACACACTTCCTGTTTTAAAATTATATTACACAGCCAGAGTAATTGAAATACCATGCCATAAAAACAGACCCGAAGCCCATAGGAACAGAAGATGGAACTCAGAAATATGTGTAAATCCAAACGTATGTGGCTGGCTAATTTTTGACAAGGGAACCAAGGCTCACTGAAAGAAAGGCTACATGATTCAGTAAATGATGCTGGAAAAACTGGCTGTCCACATGCAAAGGAAGGAAGTTGAATTCTCTTATTACACCATACACAGAAATCAACTCCAAATGAACAAAACACCTAAATGCAAGACCTAAAATCACAAAGCTCCTTGAAGAAAACAAGGGGGAAAAGTTTCTTGATACTGGTCTGGGCCTTGGCAGAGCCATTTTTGGATATCAGACCAAAAGTTCAGGCTATAAATGCAAAAATAATTGGGACTGCATCAAGCTAAAAAGCTTCTGCACAGCGAAGGAAACAGTCAACAAAATGAAAAAGCAACCTACTGATTGAGAAAAATTATTTGGAAACTGTATTTGATATCAAATATTTATAAAGACCTCATAAAATTCTATAGCAAGAAATAAACAACCCAATTTAAAAATGAGCAATGGACCTGAATAGGCATTTCTCCTAAGGTATCATAAAAATGGCCAGCAAATATATGAGGAGGGGGCCAGTGCTGTGGTATAGTGGATAAAGCTGCCACCTGCAAGGCCGGTATCCCATATGGGCACTGGTTCAAGTCCCAGCTGCTCCATTTATAATCCAGTTCTCTGTTATGGCCCGGGAAAGCAGTGGAAGATGGCTCAAGTCCTTGGGCCCCTGCACTCATGTGGGAGACCTGGAAGAAGCTCCTGGCTGCTGGCTTTGGAGCAACACAGCTCTCACCGTTGAGGCCAAGGGGGAGTGAACCAGTGGATGGAAGATCTTTCTTTCTTTCTTTCTTTCTTTCTTTCTTTCTTTCTTTCTTTCTTTCTTTCTTTCTTTCTTTCTTTCTTTCTTTCTTTCTTTCTTTCTGTCTCTTTCTTTCTTTCTTTCTTTCTTTCTTTCTTTCTTTCTTTCTTTCTTTCTGTCTCTTTCTTTCTTTCTCCTTCTTTCTCTTTCTCTTTTTCTTTCTCTCTCTTTCTCTCTCTCTCTCTCTTTCTCCTTCTCTCTCTCTGTAACTTTAATATATATCTGAGAAGGTGTTCAATATAACTAATAATCAGGAAAATGTAAACTTAGTGACTATTAGGTCTCACCTCATTCCCATGAAAATAGCTAGCTATTATCAATAAATCAAAATAAGAAGTGTTGATGAGGATGGGGAGAAAGGGAATCATTGCCCACTGTTGGTGGGAACATAAGTTTGTGCTATCTTTATGAAAAACAGTATGGGGATTTCTAAAGAAATTAAAAACAAAACTATAACATGACCCAGCCATCCCTTCTCCAGATATATAACCAAAGGAAATAAAATGACCATGTTGGAAAGATAGCTGCACTTCTGTTGCAGCATTGTTCACAGTCATAGTCGATATAAGATAACTTATGGGATTATTGTGGAAGAATGGATGAGGAAACCATAGTCTCCAGGAGATCCTAGCTTTTACCACAACGTGTATGGATCTAGAGAACATTATGTTTAGTAAAGTATGGAGACAGAAAAAAGTGCTGTTTAATCTCACTTCTGTGTGGAATCTTAAAAAAAATATCCAACAGGGTCAAATCTACAGAGGTAGAGTATAATAGCAGCAGAGATGATGTGGGGAGGAGGAAATGTGGAGATGCAAATCAAGTGATACAAACTAAACAGGTAAGTAGGAGAAACAAGTCTAAACAAGTCTAAACATGTGCAACATGAGGACTGGAGTTATCAAGACTATATCATATTTTTGCTCAATGATTAAATTGTAGCTACTCTTGCCACAAGGGAGAGGAAAAATATAGCTATGTGAGATGATGGATATGTTAATTCATTTCACTGTAATAATGCTTACTACGTTTGTATCTCATAACATGTTGCATGTCTTAATTATACACAATAAAATTTATTGAAACATTATATATGTTTGATGACCTGCAGAAACATGTTACATTATAATAATTTTTAACTTTAAATTAATGCTGTAGAGGAAAAGAAAGAACATACTGCACAAAGTCTGAGAGATCTTTGTTTTATACACTACTACCCATTTTCGTTGATTCAGAAATTGATTATAAGTTATAATCATAAGACATATTTCAAGGGAAATATATTTCATTCAATAAAAAAGTCTTAGTATGACTGTTAAAGGCAAAAAGATGCTACATCTTTTACCAGGCCATACTTATTATATTTAAAATTTTGTGGGGCCTGCGCTGTGGCGCAGTGTGTTAACGCCCTGGCCTGAAACGCCGGCATCCCATATGGGTGCTGGTTCGAGACCCAGCTGCTCTACTTCCAATCCAGCTCTCTGCTATGGCCTGGGAAAGCAGTAGACCCCTGCATCCACGTGGCAGACCTGGAAGAAGCTCCTGGCTCCCGGCTTCAGATCAGTGCAGCTGCGGCCATTGCAGCCAATTGAGGAGTAAAACATTGGAGGATCTCTCTCTCTCTACCTCTACCTCTACCTCTCTACCTCTACCTCTCTACCTCTCTACCTCTCTACCTCTCTACCTCTCTACAAATCCACGTCTCCTTTCTCTATGTAACTCTGACTTTCAAATAAATAAATAAATAAATAAACAAACCTTAAAAAAATTTAGGAGAGACAAAATTAAAGATGATTGTAGGCCGGCGCCGCGGCTCACTAGGCTAATCCTCCGCCTTGCAGCGCCGGCACACCAGGTTCTAGTCCCGGTCGGGGCGCCAGATTCTGTCCCGGTTGCCCCTCTTCCAGGCCAGCTCTCTGCTGTGGCCCAGGAAGGCAGTGGAGGATGGCCCAAGTACTTGGGCCCTGCACTCCATGGGAGACCAGGATAAGTACCTGGCTCCTGCAATCGGATCAGCGCGGTGTGCCGGCCGCGGCGGCCATTGGAGGGTGAACCAACAGCAAAAGGAA